CGGCCGGGGGGCCCGGCGCGGGGCCGCTCAGCGCGGCGTCTTTTCTTCTCCTGGCAGTGATGTCATCGGCGGCAGCGGCTGGGAGCCGGGAGGCGGCGGCGGGGGCGGCGCCGGGCGGCCGCCGCAGGTTCATGTGCATGTAATGAAAAGGCACTTGACAGTCGGCCAGGACGCACGCGAGGGAGCGCGAGCCGGCCGGACCGCGGCGCCGCCCGAGCCAATCGCCGTCGCCGGCCTCTCCATGGGCGAGCAGGAGGAGGGGGCGGGGGGCGCAGCGGGCCTGGCCGCGGCCGCTCCGAGGTGAACGGCGCCGAGACGGGCTCGCGGCGCGGGGAGGCCGGGCGCGCCGCCGCTATGAATTCCGCCGAGCAGACCGTTACGTGGCTCATTACCTTGGGGGTGCTGGAGTCGCCCAAGAAAACCATCTCGGACCCGGAGGGCTTCCTGCAGGCGTCTCTGAAGGATGGGGTGGTCCTCTGCAGGCTGCTGGAGCGCCTGCTGCCCGGGACCATCGAGAAAGTGAGTGCCCCCCGCCCCGAGCCCCCACGGCGGACAGGCCCGCACGGCGGACAGGCCCAGGGCAGTGGGAGCCCTGGCGGGGGGAGGCCCGGGGTGCGCGGACACGCGCGGGCGCGGGGTTGCTGGCGCTCGCACCTGGTGGCTGCGCGGGCCGGGGAGCGCGGGGCGCCGAGGAGCCCACGCGCCTCCTTTGTGCGCGGACCCGGGAGCGCGGGCCGCGCGGGGGGCGCGCCAGCGGCGCGAGAACCCGGTGGCGGGAGCTCGGGGCGCCATTGTGTGCGGTGCCGGCTGGGGAGGGGGCCGGGGCCGCGTTCAAGAGCAGCGCCCCCCGGGAGGTCCGGAGGGAAGGGGAGCGCTCTGCTCTGCCCCGCCCGAAGGTGGAGTCGTCCCTCACCCCAGCAGAAAACCGTGCTCCAGCACTGCGCACAGCTCGTCCGAGGGCTTTGTTTGAACAGCTTTTGTTGCTGGTATTGTATGCGAGTTTCACCCTCTGTTTAATTGACCAATTGCTATGCATTTTTTAAAGCTGCATTCATCGATAGTTGAGGGCTGGGTTGTGAAACGATTTTCCGCCCTCTCCACGAAAGAATTCTTCCCGTCTGCGCGCCAGAGGATGGCAGACACGGGGTTAGAAAGCCCTGGCATTCTTCAAGGCTGGCTTAAAATCCTAGATTTCATTTTCAGGTTCATACCTGAATTTGAGCGGAACCCCTAGTCCTACAGACTCTGCTCCTCTTCTTCATGACGGGCAGTTTCCGGGGCTGGAGTGTGAACCTTGACCCGCATCTCCGTGAGTGACTAAAGTTTGCGTTCCTCTCCACGGCTGACGAAGCAGTGCAGGGGACGGAACGCTTTTAAAAACGGTGTATGCCTGTATGTCAAAAACACTGCAATCTTGTCCCATTTTTTTTTTTGCCAATACATAATCTTAAGATCAACAATTACTTACAAGGTGTTAAATGGAGAAATTGAAGTACACTAATTAGGAAAAACTATTTCATTTTTTAAATGGGATTGTCTTGACCGCTACGCACAATAACAATTTGCTAATAATGCTAATTAGGTGACTTGAAAAAGTAAAATGTTTAATCTTATTCGTAAGTTTGTGCATGTTCTGGAGCTACATTTTAAAGGTCAGAAAAGATTCTATTTAATATGAATTTTACATGCATACTAGTTTTAAGTATTTTCCTTACGTGGAACATATTTATGAGAATAGAATCTGCATTTTAGAGTGAATAGCTGCCTGCCTGTCCAGGAAATAAAATTGTTGGTGTAAATGAACCTGATGTCACAATAAAATTATGATTTAGGACAGGAATAAGGAGCAGGATCTGACTTTCAAGGCACTCAAAATACTTTGTTGTCATCTGGATATCAGGTATCCTCTGATAATAAAAGACAGATGCTGAAAAGCGTTGAAAATGCATGCTAAGTTTACCAAAATAGGCTTATATAAAATACTCGTCCATTTCCAAGAGGGAAGCTTTAAGAAACTGCATGTGCCGTCTGGATAAAAACATGTTGCTCTCAGTGCATACGTTACTTGGTATATTAACTGCATTCATATTGATTGGCAGACTTCAATAATCATTTTCTTTTGCATTCTAGAAAGATTTTCTTAGAAAACTGTAGCATTCCTTTCATCTCTAAAACAACATAGAGAGGAATGAATAAAATGTTTAGCTTGAGGAAGCCAAATTGAAACAACCCAGCATATTCTGAAAGCGTGGCCAGTTGGAGATTTTTACATTGCGACCGTCCCGTTAGTCCCCCCTGGCCCCTCTGGTCTGCTTTAGACGGACACAATCACAGTGCAAGTTTAACAGCAAAGTAGCAAATTATAGACAGAGCTACTTATTCTCTGTGGTTCAAAGGTAGATTTTTGGAGTAAAATATTAGCCAATCTCTGCCTCTAAAACCCTGGGTTTCAGAAGTTTTGTGAGCTTTTCCATTTCCTGAGAACAGTTATTTATTTGAGCTTTATGATATTTGAACGCACACAAATAATATATGTGACAAAGCATGCAGGCTGAACAGCTTTGACTCGCATGTGGGAATGTTCGTCTGAGGATGTTTTTCCTTAAAAAGGAACATTTGGAAACTTAACTGAATATTCATCTGGAATTGAGGATCTTAACTTTACCCCAGTTTGCTACATGAACACATGACGACTGGCAAACACAGCTGCAACTTCACATTTGCAAATTCACAGTTTAAGACGAACCATTATACTAGGGATAGTGCAGAATTAGGAAAAGGTTAGTGGTGGCTCAGGTTCCCATATGCCTTTTATTAAGAAAACATTCCTAATATGTTTCTTGCGTTGTGTTCATTTGTTCTGTTTTAGAGCCAGTAAAGGGTGGAGAGCTGAGAGGACATTCATTTCCGTTCAGATTGTTCTCATTTTAAAGAGGTTCTCTGCCCAGGACCTCCTTTGTGCGGTCTGCCTTTCTGTAGGCGGAAGGTGAGGCAGGGACAAGAGGGGATTATGAACTCTGTGTGAGCAGTTTGGAAGAGAGACACTTTTTTTTTTTTTTTACTGGCCAGTGAGGCACTGTCTTTTTTTTTTCTTTTTGGGGAAGGTTGGCCCTGCGCTAACATCTGTTGCCAATCTTCCTCTTTTTCTTTTTTCTCCCCAAAGCCCCAGTACATAGTTGTGTATCATAGTTGCAGAGTTGTAGCTCTTCTATATGGGACGCTGCCTCAACATGGCTTGATGAGCGGGGAGTAGGTCCGCACCCAGGATCCAAACCAGCGCGACCCCCTGGCCGCTGAAGTGGAACACACGAACTTAACCACTATGCCACCGGGCTGGCCCCTAGAGACACGTTTTGTTATTGCCAGTGATGTGTTCTCTGGCAGAGGGGAGAGAAGAGTGGGGATTACAAGGTTTCCCAAATCTTCGTGTCTGAGATCTTACACTTCGATTTTTCCAGTAATGGCCAGGATGTCTTGCTGACCCACCCACACTATTTGCTTCCCTCGTTCCTCCTGTGATGGGAAACACACCAAGGCCGCAGAATCAGGGAGCCCTGTTGGCACTGAGCCCATGACTTAATGTGGTAAACATCCCTACATTATTTAGTCAAAGGGGGTGAAATCAAGAGAGAGAAGTTTTAGAGGATGGAACAGGACTCTGAGATTAATAAAACATTAAAATAATGGAAGTCCTGAAATGCTGCTTTACTTTTACTTGTAAATGCAGCAGCTGCAGCTGGTCGATTCACCAAGAAAAACTCAAGGAGCCTGGTTCTTTCTCCCTACGCCCAGGAGAACAGAACACACAGTAATCCGTCAAGTGCTGCCCAGAAGACACTCCATCCATCAATATTTGCGGAATGCAACTGAAGCTCAGATGCTACCCTTCTGGTCTTGCTACAGGTCCTGGGTGTACGTCTGTGCACGCGTTTAAACTGGTTTAAGCTGTTGGGCTGTGTGTTAGTGTCCTGGGGCTGCCGTAACAAAGTATTGCATGCTGGGGGCCTAAACAACAGAACTTGGTTCTCGCACAGTCCTGGAGGCAGCAGTCAGGGATGGAGGTGTAGGCAGGGCCGTCCCCTCTGAAGGCGCTGGGGGAGGATCTGTCCAGGCCTCTCCAAGGCTCCCGGTGGTTCCTTGACTTGTGGCAGCACAACTCCAGTCTTCCATGGCGTTCTCCCTGTGGTCTCTTCCCTGTGTCCAAACCTCCCCTTTTATAGGGATGCCAGTCATTGCATTAGGGCCACCCTACCCCAGTAGGACCTCAGCTTTACTAATCACATCTGCAATGACCTTGTTTCCAAATAAGGTCACATTCTGAGGTTCTGGGGGTTAAGGCTTCATCAGATGAATTTTGGTGGACACAATCCAGCCAAATCAACTTATTAAGTACTTACCTGCCTGCAGGGTGCTAGGGGCTATGGGAGGTAAAAAGACTAACTAACAGGCTTTTCAGGGTTTTAGTACAGGAGAAAACAGAACTAAAACCCAGAGCGCTGTGAGGCAGAAGGAGGCGAGAAGCAGACTGTCGGGTGCAGATGAGAAGGGGCGGAGCAGTGAAGGAGCTCTGGGAGCCCTGCCTCTGCTGCGCTTTCTGACACGTGGATTGGAAGGTTTGTATTTCCCCAAACCGTGACCTCCAGCCCCAGGTGATCTTCCCCAGGCCTGCAGAAAATCAGTGATTTCCCGTATCAGCAGAGGAAAAAGAACCGCTTTCCCTGATTGATTCTCCACTCGCTTTCTGATCAGTGCCGGGACTCGGGGGTTGGCTGGGGGTGGGCTGGGGAGAAATGAGGTCTCAGAGGCTGCTGGACAGAGTTGAGCGCCCCCCGTGAGAAGCTGGCCTTTGCTGAGGGCCCTTTGCCCCAAGGGTGTGGTCCCAAGGGTGGGTGGGGTGGTAGTAGGGGATCACTCCAGCGAGTTGGTTCAGGAGACCCGCACCCTATAGCTGTTCATAAGTGCTTATTGATGGGCTGGTAAAAGCACATAGAGAAAAGTTATAAGACACGGGATCTCCTGACTGTGGGTTTTTTTTTTTTTTGTGTGTGAGGAAGATTGGCCCTGAGCTAACATCTGCCAAACCTCCTCTTTTTTTGCTGAGGAAGACTGGCCCTGGGCTAACATCTGTGCCCATCCTCCTCCACTTTATATGGGAGGCCGCCACAGCATGGCTTGACAAGCGGTGCGTTGGTGGGCGACCGGGATCCGAACCTTCGAACCCCGGGCCGCTGCAGCAGAGCGCGCGCACTTAACCGCTATGCCACCAGGCCGGCCCCTCCTGACTGTGTTTTTAAGGAGACTTCTTTCAACTTTGCAAACTGAACTATTGGTTATATCAAGGTCCTTCTAGTGAAACTTCTTAAGGCTCCAGAATAGTTAATTTTGTAATAGTGAACATCTGCTTTTGCATCGTGTGATTGTGAAGTCTCTCCCACGTCTGCACCAGGGGCTTCTTGTTGTGGGTTGTAGGCCGAGAGGAGAGGGTGGTGTAACCGCGTTTGGTGGCCCGTTTCAGGTAA